CTGAAACAACAGGGACAAAAAATAGAACAGTCACTCTATTTAGGATTTATTTTTAGAACAACTAGATCTGATTTATTTGTACTCTCAAATTATTACTGATTATCTCATTTCTGTCATCAAGCCACTTACTTATGCTTTAAACCTCAGTTTTGCAATTTAGTTCATTCCTGCTGATTTGAAAACTACACAAAACAATTAAGCTATTATTTATATACAGTTCTGAGGTCTTTGAAATGAATAGCTTTACAATTTAAAATGCGCAAATCACTGCAAATGCAATAGAAATGGAAATTGTCCATCCATCCAATTTCATCTGCTTATCCAGAGTTGGGTCGTGGGGGCAGCAGCCTGAGCAGAGAGGCCCAGGCTTCCATTTCCCCAGCCACTTGGGCCAGCTCTTCTGGGGGAATCTCAAGCTATTCCCTTTCCATCCAAAAGAGATATTGACCATCCAGGGTGTCCTTTGGGTCTCCTCCTGGTTGGATGTGCCCAGAAAACCTCACCAGGTCCAGGAGGCATCCTGATCAGATGGCCGAGCCTCCTCAACTGACTCCTCTCGATGTGGAGGAGCAGCAGATCTCTGAGTGTCTCCTGGGTCTCCAAGCTTCTCACTCTGTCTCTAAGCGAGAGCCCAGACACCCTGCGGAGAAAAATCATTTTGGCCGCTTTTATCCGTGATCACGTTTTATTTATTTATTTTTTTGGTCATTACCCAAAACTCGTTAACCTTGCTCTGCAAGATTAATTCTCGTGAGATTTGGAGTTTTCCAAACTCAGGAGATTCCATCTTGTACTGCTCCAGTTCAAACCGCCCAACCTCCAGCCTAAGATAGGCCGGACCAATCGTGTGTCAGTCTTGTGCTGAAGGGTGGGACTTAGTTTTCACAATAGTACAGCAGAACAAACATGGCCATGCTGGTTGACGCTAACATCAAACAGATGCAGCAACAATTCACTTATCAATCTGACAATCCATTTATCCCTCACTTGTAAAAAATACCATATAGATACTTGGGGCAGAACCTTATTACTGACCAGGAGGAGGCATTCTACCCTTTTTCGACTCAAGACCATGGTAGATAATGTTCTGATGAAGCCAACAGGACCATCAGCTGCAAAAAGCAGAGACTCGGTCATCAGTCCACCAAAATGGATCCCCTCAACACCTTGACTGCACGTAGAAATCCTGTCTGTTATGAACAGAATCGGTGAGAAAAGGACAGCCTTGGTGGAGTCCAACTCTCAGTGGGAACAAGCCTGGTACCCCATTCTCCCGAAGTACTCCCCAGAGGGTCCCCCGAGTGACGCAGTTGAATGCCTTCTCCAAATCCACAAAACACATGTTGATTAGTTGGGTGAACTCCCACACCCCCTCCAGTACCCCCTAAAAGTATAAAGCTGGTCCAGTGTTCCATGGCGAGGACAAAAACCGCAATGCTCCTCCCTCCCTGCAGAACCCCTGAATAGATTTTACCAGGGAGGCTCAGAAGTGTGTTAAACCTGCAGTTGGAACACACTCTGTGGCCCCCTTTTTTAAATAAGGGGATCACCACCCCACTTTGCCAAAACAGTGGAACTGCCCCTGATGTCCATGCGATATTGCATCATCCAGAGCATTAAGGAACTCTGGGCGGATCTCATCCACCGCCAGACCCTTGCCACTGAGGAGATTTTTTACCACCTCAGTGACCTCAGTGCCAGGGTTTGGAGAGCCCTAAGTCTCCAGACTCTGCCTTATTGGGAGACGTGCTGGTGGGATTGGAGAAGTCTTTGAAGTACTCCGCCCAGTGATCCACAACATCCAGAGTCAAGGTCAGCAGTACAAAGTCCCCACTATAAACAGTGTTGGTACACACTAAAAAAGATTGGGTTGTTTGCATAACCCAACTGCTGGGTTAAAGCCGCTGGGTAAAACTTTGGGTAGTTTGACCAAATATTGGTAAAAATATCTTGACCCAGGAGTTGGACTGGCAATGCGCTGGGCCCTTTTTCTAACTCCAAGGCTTGACTAAATATTTTGGGTCAAAGGTTGGGTAGCTTTGACCAAATGTTGGGTCACTATATGCCCAACTCCTGGTTTGAAGACAATTCTCAGAAAATGCTTCATCATCCCCACAAATGGCCATTTCCTAAAGGACTGTGACCTGATCAGATGTAACTGGACTTCTCCTCTTATTATTAAATAATAAGAGGTGACTAAAGTGATTGTTACAGTTTAAAAAGAAAGAAAGAAAGACAGAAAGACAGAAAGAAAGAAAGAAAGAAAGAAAGAAAGAAAGAAAGAAAGAAAGAAAGAAAGAAAGAAAGAAAGAAGGAAAGAAAGAAAGAAAGAAAAAGAAAGAAAGAAAGAAAAAGAACTATCTTTGCTATAACGCCCCACAAGATAAAAATCACAAGGTGCTTCACAAAAACAAAAGTTTTAAAGTACAATGTTTTTTAAAATGATTAAAAATATGTTTATAATAAGTAAAAACAGGCAATTGTCAATAAAAAATGCTAAAAAGGAGAGGGAAAGAGAGTGAATAGGATAGAGGGAAATCAGTGGTTCCTGCGGGAAGGTGGAATAGGTGGGGGAGCAGAAAAAGGAGAGGGTGGTGATGAAGGTCACACCAAAGCCTGAACAGGTGAGTTTCAGCTGCATTTTAAAGGAGACCACTGAGTCCACTGATCTCAGGCTCAGGGGGAGAGAGGTCCAGAGTCTGGGGGCCACAGCAGCAGATGATCTGTCACCTTTGGTCTTTAGTCTGGTGCTGCACAACCAGTAGGCTTTGGTCACTGGACCTCAGGGACCTGCTGGGGGTATAAGGACACGTCACCCCTCTGTTCATTGAGCTCCACTGGCTACCGCTAGCAGCACACATCAAATTCAAATTGCTAACACTAGCATACAAAGTCCGAGATGGTACGGCTCCTATCTACCTGAATCCTCTTGCAAAGCCTTACGTCTCGGCCAAGCTGCTCCAGTCATCACAGGATCGTCGGCTAGCAGTGCCTACATCAGGACAACCCAGACTCGTCTCTCACAAATGTGGAATGACCTACCAAGCACTACCAGAACAGGGACTTCCATTTCAATTTTCAAGAAACTCCTGAAGACCCTGCTCTTCAGAGAGCATCTTCTAAACTAGCACCCTCCCTGCACCCGTCCCTACTCTCTACTGTCCACTCCTTGATCCCTCCTCTGCATGATTGATGTCAAGTTATTGTTATTATTGTTGTTGTTAGCCTCAATGGCAACATGCCGATTATCACTTGTAAGTCACTTTGAACAAAAGCGTCTGCTAAATACTTAAATAAACAAACATAAACATAAGATCATGGTGCTTACATGGTGCTTGTCCATGTAAGTCCCTTGAGACCAGAACCAGGACTTTGAAATGAACCCTGAGGCTGACTGGCAGCCAGTGAAGCTGGAGGAGAAGCGGGGTGATGTGGGTGTGTTTGGAGGACTTGGTCAGAGTCCAAGCACAGACATTCTGAACCACCTGTAGACGGTTCAGGAAGGTTATGCTCAGACACGAGAAAAGAGAGTTACAGTAGTCTAAGCATGAGGAGATGAAGGAGTGGATAGCAGTCTCAAGTTCAAAGTGGGACAGAATGGGACTCAGCTTAGCAATGTTCCTGAGATGGAAGAAGGAAGAGGGAACAAGAGAACTGACATGAGAATCCAGGGTGAGAGCTGGGTCAAAGGTCACACCAAGATTCCTGACAGAAGTTTTGGTGTGAGAAGCAAGCTGACCAAGAGAGGCTCTGACTTTGGGAACCAGCTTGTCTGGGGAACAGATGAGGATCTCAGTCTTATCTTCATTCAGCTGTAGAAAGCTCCCAGTCATCCAGGTTTTGATAGAGTCTAAGCAGGTGTGTAACAGCTGCAGCTTAGACATTTCATGGGGCTTAAAGGAGATGTACAGTTGGATGTCATCTGCATAAAGATGGTAGGAGATTCCTTTGAAAGAGCTCAGGATGTGCTGAAGAGGAAGTAGATAGTAGTAGAGTAGAGGAAGAAGAGCAGAGGCCCCAGCACAGAACCTTGTGGGACACCATGGGTAAGGGAGGTGATGGAGGACCTATACGTGGAGACGGCCACAGAAAAGGAGCGCTCAGAGAGGAGAACCACTCCAGAGCAGATCCTGATAGGCCTACCCAGTCTCTCAGCCTCTCCAGTAGCAGGTGATGGTCAACAGTGTCAAAGGCTGCAGTCAGGACGAGAACTGAACAGTCGCCTGCATCACTGTGGGTCAGAGGGTCATTAGAGACCCTAAGAAGGGCAGTTTCAATGGAATGAACTCTGAAAAAAAACTCCTCCTTGAACTGTCACCTTATCGTGGTGGAGGAGTTTGAGTGCCCTATGTTGCTGGGACACTTTGCAGGTAGGATCTCCCATGACAAATGGCTCTTAGGTGAAGGGTGAGACAAAGAACGGTTCAAAAGATCTTTCATGGATATAAAAAAAAAGAGTTGGAGTACCCGGCCCGGAGGGTTACCGGGGTCCCATCCTGAAGCCAGGCTTGGGGTTAGGGCCTGTGAGCGAGCGCCTGGTGGCCGGGCTTTCGCCCATGGGGCTATACCCAGCCCGAACCGGATACATGGGCTCATCCAACTGTGGACCCACCAACCGCAGGAGGAACAGAGTGGATCGGGTGGCAGACCGAGGCGGGAGCCTTGGCGGTCCAATCCCCGGACAAGAAAACTGGTTTTTGGGACATGGAACATCACCTTGCTGGCAGGGAAGGAGCAGGAGCTTGTGGCAGAGGTTGAGTGGTACCGGCTAGATATAGTCGGACTCACCTCGGCACATAGCATTGGCTCTGGAATCCAAGTCCTTGAGAGGGGTTGGACACTCTCCTTTGCTGGAGTTGCTCTGGGTGAGAGGCAGAGGGCTGGGGTTGGCATTTTGTTAGCCCCAAGACTCTCTGCCTGTGTGTTGGGGTTTACCCCGAGGGACGAGAGGGTAGCTTCCCTGTGCCTTCGGGTCAGGGAATGGATCCTGACTGTTGTTT